GAACCTCAAGTAAGTACTTGACATAAAACTCTTGATTAGTCAGTTTAAACTTAATGTGGGCTCTTTATTGGGTAGAAACAGCAATTGTAGGGGTTCTTGTGGCACAATGGTACCATTCCTACCTTTTTGAGCCAGAAGACCACCTCCAGAGGTGTCAAAATGTCTGAATGGATTGATTTTAAAATAAAATCTACTCCTGTATACCTAACTCAACTTTATGATGTCAGTGTGCTCACTTGTCCAGATACTTGCTATTGTTCTATTATTGCATCAAAATGTGCATTTTTGCGCTGTGTGCTTTTCATGACCCCAGGATGTCCTAAAGTGCTTTACAGCCTATTTAATTTTTTTTTGGAAGAGTAATCACAAATTTATTTCAGTAAATAATTAGCCTAATCACTCTTCTAGTAAACTTTGGCCAGGCTGTAAGACGTGATGTGTTAACTTGTCTTCAACTGATATAAAGTAATCCAATCTTGTAACTCTTTGTGGTTATAAGAAATGCTTTAGTCTGTACTTGGGTAGGAGGGAAGAAAGGAGTATAAATTTACTATATCAATGTTTCATTTATATTTATTGAAGGTACAACTTCCCCTACATTCACTTTTACAAATACAGTATGTTCATTAGTCTGAGATCTCAAATTAAAATTTTGTCTTGTATTTTTCTGCTTTTGTCATTCAGCCATTATACATTTTGTCATTTTCAATCCTAGATATATCTTCAAACCATACTGACTCAGTCGAAACTCACAAGCTTCCTTTATCAGACTCTAATGTGACAAATGTGCAAGAAGATAAGCATGATAATGGGGAAAGAAGCAAAATACAAACAGAGAATGATGTTCAGCATTATCAGGGTATACAAGAACCAGCTTCAGATCCTAAAACAGATGGCAAAGAAATCAAGAGACAGAAATCTCTGAGGAAAAAGATGGAGGATGGAATACATGCCTCTAGCAGAGTCTAGTACTAGCTGAGTGCTCTATGCTAGCACCCAAAGGTATCTGCGAGTTGGGGTCAAAAACTGCATATTACTATATTCTGGAAATCCAAAAAGGAAATTTTAAATTGAATTGATGCTAAATGTAAAATCTTTTTAGTAATATGCCAACTACGCATGATCCACAGTTCTAACAATTAACAAAGATTGCATGTATCTAAACATTGCACTGAGAACTTGTCCATCAGAAAGTTTGCTTAACAACAATTCTGCAAGTATTGATTTTTAATTATTACATATAGCTGTTTAAAGGATGTTGAATGAGTATCTGACCCTCATTTAATATATTGACAATTCTTGAATAGAATTGCTCACAAATCAAAGTTTGTGCCAATAGACTATAAGTAATAACCACATGCATTCTAAAACTGGAAATAACAACTAACCATATGCACAGGCATGTAATGCAGTCTCCCTGAATAGGACGTTTTGTAACAACTAATGTAGTGTTAACCAGCTAAACTTGCACAATAGATATCTAGAGAATTTTAGTTTTATCTCCTTTCATAAAATGTATGTTTAAAATACATTTATGACAATGGTAATGCGAACATGAACTTAAACTATTGAATAGAATTGTTGGTTGAAGTGTTCACAAGATTCTCTCAATAGTGACCAATGCACATTACTTTCACATGCAATATCGTATGTCTCTCTAGTATTCCAGAGAAGCATATTCAATTGTGTTTTTCCTTCCATTATCAAGTATGTGGTAACAAATTTTTAGTTCACTCCATTCTAGATTATATTCAACATTTGTAAATGCAGGAAACAAATGACATGAAGATTGACTGACTGGGTGGATGACAGTGGGAGAAGGTATAGGTTACAAAACTCAGTGAACAGACTGATCAGATGGTCAGAGGGAATCTAACCCTGAAAATGTAAGGTGTTGCACTTTGGCAGAGATATCAAGACCAGGGAGTAGTCAGAATGGCAGGACACTAGGAAGCTCAGGAACAGAGGGACCTTGGGGTATTTGTCCACTGATCCCTGAAGGTGGCAGAGCAGGTTAATGGGGTAGTTAAAGGCAAGTGCCCTGCATGCCTTATCAGTCATGGCATAGATTATAAGAGCAGGGAGGTTATGTTGGTTTTGTAAGTTTAACTTTGGTTAGGCTACAACTTGAGTACTGTGTGCAGTTCTGGACACTGCACTCAAAGGAGGATATGTTTGAACTGGAGGGAAGTAGAGGAGATTCACCCAGGATCTGGCATTTCAGTTATGAAGAGGCTGGATAAGCTCAGGTTGTCTTCGGAGCAGATAAGATTGAAGCGGGATCTGACAAATGTATAAGACTGAGGGTACTGACAGGATGAATAGAAAGCAGCTGTTGCCGTTAAAGGGTCAATACCAAGGGGCACACCAAGGTGAAAGGCAGGAGGTTTAGAGGGCATTAGAGGATTTTTTTCACCCAAAAGTTGGTGGCAATCTAGAATGCACTGCAGGGGAGAATAGTTGAGGTGGGTAACTTCTCACCCAATAATTTTTTTCAAGTTTCGTAACATTCGTGGCTATGGCCAAGGGCTGAAAAGTGGGACTTGTGTAGATTGACTGACTACTTCTGGTAATACAGACCTGATTGGCTGAAGGACTGCTTGTGTACTGTATGATTCTATGAAATGCTATCAGTTAAGCTCCTCAGGGCATCAGTGGTACATTTTTGGAATTGAGAAAGTCTTTTAATTATAATATTGATCAGTCTTTTGGAGTTTATGTATCAAATTTGCCTTTGTACATAGACTCAGTTTTTAATCTGCTACTGTAGTGATGAAATATCAACCTTTGAATCAACTAAACCACAAAACATCTGACTTGAAGGTGAGTAGCACTACCAATTAAGCATGTAGTTCCTGCCAATTTTTCTTCGCTGTTTACAATCTTACCTTGGGCAATATTCAGGACTATCCTACCTCTACTAAAGTTTTTAGTATACCTTGAGTAGAGAAAGGAGGACCAAGGTAATGATTCTCATGATCTCTAGTTCCATTTCTAAAATAAAAAAAGTTTTAATTTATCCTAAATTTTCATCTTGCCATTTAGGTTGAGTCTATCATCATTGAATTTAGATAGTTGTGTTGCAAATCTTTTCATTTTTGTTCTCTTCTGGGTAAAGATATTGGTCTTAGTTTTTGGTGCCAAACATCATAACCAATTTGGGAAGACCAAGTAAAATTGAGTGCTGTTTGTCATTTCAAGTGCAAATGCATTTTGTCTTCCACATGCTACTGCTAAACATTTAAATATGCTTTCAATCTTTTTGCACTTAGCACTTCCCTACAATTCCACTTTACACAGCAAAACAGTAAATCTTTAGCTCTTGCTTACACTGCTAAAAAGTTTGTTTTTGCTACTACCCTAAATTTGAACACAAACTTAAACAATTATTCATAGTATGCTTTAATGGTGGTTTTATTTCCTTTTGCATCCTGTCTGTTACAAGGAAAAATTTTCCTGTCCCTTGGCTGGCCAGTTCAGAGACCGAGGGAAGTAGTTAAAATGCCAGCGAGCTGTATTTGAAAGGAATCACTGATGTCGTCCCACTGGGCCGTTTTACCAGAAGCTAGAGTAGCAGTAGCTCAGCTACTTGCTGACTGGTGGCCAGTTGAAAGGTCCAATCGAGGGCCTACAAGGGCACTGGCACTTTGGTGCAATGACCTGGTGCTGTGCCGAGAGTCCAGCTACATGGAAGTGGCTTTCCGCGAGTGGGAAAAAAGTGTGGAAAGGCCTCCTGGCTCAAGGAGGGGCCTGTGGAATCAAAAGTATTTCCCCTAAGCCCCAATGCTACCACTAAAAGATTGTTTCCTTCCCTACCGAGTACCAGTGGGGAAAAAATCCAATTGCCCTATGCAGTCACCTTTTAACGTGACAGCCCTTTTTTAAGCCTGCAGTATGCAGTGGCTACCATCCTGCCTATTTTGGCTCAGAGGGATTTGTCATTGTCTAAATCTTTCTCCAAGCTAGAGAAAGTGAGACTATGCAGAGAAAATATTTAATATGAAGTACTTGAGTTACTATTCCTTTCCTTCCTGTTCTCCAAACGTAGCCCTGTGTGATTTAAGATAAATTTGAGGAGATTTCTTCAGAATTCTTTCTTGGCTGGAAATGAGATAAGAAGTGCAATCATGTGGAACTCCCATTTAAAGTTTGGTTCCAACACTTTAATGTGGCCTACAATAAGGTGATTACCATTAATCTTGAGTAAATGGTGTCCTTATACAACTGAAGCTGCTTTTCCGTTACTCAAATGTAAGTATAGCAGGCTCACAATGCTATGACGATGTGCTAATACAACTGTGGTATGCTGAGAGGCCAAATACTTGATGGCTTCTCCTGTGAGAGTGAGCAAACAGTAACGATATCCTCTGGAATTGCTGAGTTTTCAGAACTGTTTCCTTCTGGGTATCCGAAATGGTTTGCCTGCTCAACTTCCTTTTTAGAGAATAGGGAAGGTGATCGGGGAAAATAAGAGAAACTGTCTCTTCTCCCTTCTAACCTGGGTCACATTGTCTTGTATACCAGTTGATATAAATTAGTCAATGGCCATGAGTTTAAGCTAATCTTACTGGGAATTGTTCAGGTTGGGCTTTCGTTTTCAGTGATCATATTTCATAGTTGATGTCTAGATGTAGTGTAAAATGGGTTTTCGACCAATGCCTGTTCTGTGCTCACTAAGCAAGTGGGAATAAATTTGGGAAAATTTCAAATAATGAGCATGCGTATTAGTATTTCATTTCTAAATTGACTATTGATCTTTGTGTACCTCCAACAAATTACATCTAATCTTTCACATTTTCAAGTTGTCTCTTTTAGGAATCAAATGTTTTTTAAAAAAAAATTGTATAAATGGTTACAAATTTCCTTTTTTTTTTTAAAGCTGTCAGAAGTCATTCCTTCTACCAGTTTAAAATTTAAACTATAATTGTCAGGATGGAGAGTTGAAATGGGTGAAGATTGATCATGAATTAGGATTTTTTTTCATCTTTTTCTTTTACCAGAACTAACTGATTTACAAGCCCAGGAGGATCTTACAGACATTTCTGAAGTGGATGAAGGATTTATTCCCAAGGCTTCTAATGCAAGCAATATAACCACTAATACAAGCAGCAAGACATCTGCTGGGAAAAGTCAAATGAAATCATCAAGCAGCAAACCCCATAAAGAAATGGTGGACGAGACATGCCGGGAACATTCTGCTCGTAAGCAATCTCGAAGAGCTGTGAGTGAGAATCTAGAACTCTTGGCCATGAAGAGACTAACTCTGACTAGTAGTCAATCTCTGCCTAAGCCAGGAAGCCACAATCACTTGGCTAGCACTGCTACGACCCACTTCAGTAAATCCTTTGAGCACGTTAGTGGAGTTTATATTGGAAGTAGTCCAGCTGGTGCCACAAGTAGGAATTCTGAAGAATCCAACCGATTCTCTGCTTGTAGCCTTCAAGATGACAGACTTGCACTTGTGCCTGATTGAGACCTTCAAGCTTCCATCTCTCAACACCAGAAGCATCACTACTCACCTGGTTTTAATGTTCATCTCTTGACAGCTATGTAACTTTGCAAAATGGATATTAAAGAAAAGCTTCTATTTTTTTGTATAATTTGATTTGTCAAATGCGAAACTGTATTTTTACACAGTATAAATTGAGGTTTGAACCTTTTCTTAATGTGCCTGTAAAAACTAAGTGTTAATCAAACAGCAATGAAAGGGATGGGGCATTACTTTTTGAGTCCTTTTCTCTTGATGTGCATGCTCATTTATTTTCATCTAACTCAATTTTTAAAAATTATTTTATGATCACTAACTACAACAGTATTCCCATTTGAAGGAGCATGCATTACATGTTCCTATGTATTACTTGTTTCTGTTTTGACCTGTCTTGCTTTTTGTGACTGAGAATTTATTTTATTAGATATTTCTGCCACGTTCAAGGAAGTTGTATTTTGAGAGATTTGTTATAATGTAAGCAATTTTGAATTTAAGGTAATTAAATGTAGAATATGGGTATTAACTTAGCTGAACTGGATTATGTATCATCTTATGTCTAAATTGTATATATGCATACAAATCCATATCTCCACTTTTCAAAGGTATCATTATAAACTCATTCTACTTTTCAACAGTAAACGCATTTTTAATTTAACATTACATTAACCATTACAGAAATTACCCACAACTTTGATAAACCAGAAATTGAAAATGCTCTTGTGATACGAAGAGGTAGACTTGAGGGTTGTGCAAAATCATTCACTATCGTGGATCATGCTGCCACTGTAGCACTTTTGAGCAGAAATGTTCTATTGAACAGTTTATAAACTCTTAAACATCTTTTAAGTTGTCGATTTATTGTGAAGCACATCTAAATTTTAGATGTGATTGCCTAGTTAAATACATGGAAGAATAAACTTGAATTAAAATTACTTGTTACAGGACGATTGGGCATTTTTAGGTTTGTACAAATTATTTGGTTATGATTTCTCAATTCCTTAACTTTTTGTCAGATAACAACTTGCATTTACTGTGTAAAGAAAGCCATTGTTAAAGTGGATTTTTAAAGTTTGTATTTTCCTGAAGCATTAAGCCTTGCTGGTTTGTATTGTTTTTGGCAGCTAAATTGTGCATTTTGTTCAAAATGTTAAATGTTACTTAATTGTATTTCAACTTCTACATGTGCATTTCTGTTTTGCTGGATCACTAGAACTCCGTAAGAACAGGAAATTGGGGTTTTACTTTCCTCTTGCCTGGTTAAGGCAAATCTTTAGTGCCTAGATTAAGAAGCAGACAAGGATCAAACTTCAGACTTACCTGGTCTGTATGGCTTTGTTCCAAAAAAATTCTTAAACTGAATCATGTAATGTCCACATGATGCTTTTTAGTGTGGAATAGCATGAACAATTAATTCATGACTTTTTAAAATCACTTGTATGGAGAGCTAAATAGAATGAAGAAATATAATAGTTGGTTTCATTACTATTTGATTAGTTGATACTCCATATTTTATACCAGTGAGTTCATTCAAAGAGCTTGACTATTGCTGCAATGTGCTCCACATTGTTATTTTATAGAGTTTTTAACATAGCACTTTATTTTAGATTTATTCCTTTAGCATTTGCAATTGAAACCAAATGAAAAGGCCATGAGCATTCTATAAATGAGGTCTGAATTAAAAGGTGAATTGATTCAATTATATAAACGTGCTGTTAAATAGCATAGTAAAATATGATGTCATCTTGAATATTTTAGACGTGCATTGTTAACCAGTCATTTTCTTTGTATTAGTGTTTGTTTATCAAAGGGATAGATCGTAGGCATACTGCTTTTGCTACCCTTCTAGATTTTGTATATTTGTCTTGACTAGAAATGTTTACTTTTGTATTAATGCTGACTTTAGGATTTCAGAAATGAAATGTATTTGTAACTATCTTAATTGTACTGTCTACATTTAATCAGCAATTGGTGTTCTGCATTAAAAAAAACTGTGGATGCTGTAAATCAAACTTCTGATTTTTTTTTTTGTTCTGTTACTTGTCTTGAATAAAATTTTAAAATATTGACATTTATTAGTCATCCTAGTAGTAATATAAATTGGGTAAAGAACTAAAAGGTGTAATTGTCCTAATCTCAGTTTTATCAACTTCATAAACATAGATCATGGAATTGACTTCCACAGCACTTCTTGTTTCAGTGCTTCAGATGACCCAGTGGCACTGGCCATGGTCCGAGTATAGGCCATTGTAGAATCCTAATCTGGGAAGGGTGCTAGTGTCCAGGTACCAGAAGCAGGCTGCCGTGATGACGCTCAGTTGTTCTAACTCATCTGTTGCTGATTCAACAAATGTTAGTCTTGCATATGCATTGTGGATGATTTAACACTGGTGCTGAACACATTGAGCAACAATGAATTGCCACATTAGCACTATTGAAAAAACCAGCCCCAACCTGAAGTTGAGCTGCTTGTAACGTATTTCTACTTGGGCAAAGCTAGTAGAAGAACTGGTGTGTTTTTTTTTTGAGAAATGTTGCCTAAAAATAAAGGCAAAAGGATTTGGTGACTGGTATAGGGGCTGTGGTTACAGTTGTCAAGAATGTTATGGCTTAATGGTTGGGATAGAGTGCCATTACCAATCCTCCTTTCCATACTGGATCTAAGGGCCTGTTTGGTTAAGTGGTAAGGCACTTGTCTAACAGGAGGTGGATTATTGCTAGCCAGCCTAACCAGTACCTATTGCAGAGATTGTCAGGAAGAATACTTCATCCAATTTTTTTTTCTTTTGGTGCATGGGCTTCCAAGGTCAGTGTGTGGCAGTGATTCCCAAAATTGGAAGTCCATTTGTCAGTATGAAGATTTAAATGCGAGCAAGCTTGGAAGTTGGGGAACAGTAGTCAGGAGCCAGATATGATGCATCTCACCCCGTTGGGATCTCGAACTAAATGCCTGATTCTGCACCTAAGACACTCTCTCAATCACCATCACTTTTTTTTTTTTTAAAAATTACGTTTATCACTTATGATCTTTCCTGATATACCAAGCCTTTGACTTCTCAAATCAGGTGGACTGAAGGTTCTCTCCTGGAGTTGGTTGATCATTTTTTGGCTTGAGGACTGTTGACCTTGGACCAAACTTAATTGGTTTTTAAACCATTACCATCAAAACATTTCTTACTAGTTTGTCTGTCAAATATCAGTTGATTGTTCCACAATGAGATAAGGTTCAGCTGTATGGACAAATGTGTCACTTTCAGTCTATCTGGGTAAGCTAGCTCGATGTTCAAATCTGTGGCCCATTGCATCTGGTAATCCATATTAGCGATCCCATGTGTTAAAGAGCATTTCATGCAAGTCCTTGATAAGTACCATTACTGTTCCACTTTCTACCACTACTTTTTCTTGTGCAGAAATGCTTCCTAACGTTGCTCCTAAAACGTCAACCTTTTTAGATATTTCTATCATGACCCCTGCTAATGGTCTGCAACATCCTAACCAGTGAGCGTAGGATGATTTCTCTGTCATTTTCCCTTCAAGTCCTTGATGTTTTTGATGCAGTCACCCCTTTACGCACTTCCAGGAGTACAAACCTAATTTGCACAATCACTATTCATAATTTAACTCTTGCAATCCAGGTGTCATTCTGGTAAATATTTGCTGTACTCCTAGAACAAGCCCTGGTTATAGCTACTATCTGAAGCAGGATGGCTACCTCTTTGTACTCCCTCCTTTTGAATATGAATATCAGCACTTGATTAGCATTTTTGATTACCATCCTTTGCATAGATTAAAATATGGAAATAGAAATTTGGAACTGACTTCTGCAAACAGCAATTGATGAACAATAATTGTTCTTTCAAGCGGTTTGTTGAACCATATTTGTTTATCAAAATTAGATAAAAGCAGATGTATGGTGTTGGACTGCAAAAGGAAAGGAGAGAGACAGACAGAGTCTTCACATGAAGGCTTGGGAGGTGAAAGAAAAAGGCAATAATGCAGTGTAGAGATATGGGTAATGATAACCAAGGTGTGACAGGAAGGCTTGGAGCCTACATGCATACGAATGCATCAGAAAATAGGGTCTGAGTAGGAAAAATTATTGTAAAAAGGTAGAATTAATATTTTTAAATACTTGAGCATTTTTAACAAAAGTGACTAAGCATGAATAGAATGCTGTTATATATGATCACAAGACTGGGATCTGGCTATTTAAAGGAATTTGCCATTTGGAAAGGAGAAGATGAAAGGAGGTGTTGTAGCTTGATCAATAAAAGGTGAGATCAGTATGGTTATGAGAGCGATCTTGGTCTGGAGGATCAAGACATCCTGTAATTTTGGGTGGAGATAAGAAATAGTAAGGGAAACAAGTCACTAGTAGGGGGTATATTATAGGCCCCTTAACAGCTGATGAAGTAGTACTGAATTTCAATAAAGTAATAATGAAGACTTGCTCATTTAAAAAATTACTAATCATGGACAATTCTAATTTTGTAGAATGGATGAATCAAATTAGCAAAGGTATCGCGAAGGATAAGTTTGCAATGTAATCTGGATGGTTTGCTTTTTTCTCTAAGAAAATTGGTTCCAGAATGAATTCGTAGAACATGTTATTTTAGAGATAAATCATTAGTCAGCATGCATACCACACATTCATACAAGATATTTGTAGAGACTGTATACTTTAGGAAAAGAAATCTCTATCCTTCCTTACTCTTGGAAAGCCTGGGTCATGCATTTAAACTATACAAATTCAAACTAAAATAACGCAAGTCCTTTTACTGTTACGTAAACCCCTGTCATGTAACTCTGCAATCTCGAATATAAATATAGCCATCACTTTAATTCTATCTGAACAACTAAGTTAGGAATTATTCTTGCAACTCTCACCCAAACCTCTAGCAAGACCTCTATTTCAGTGGGTCAAAACTCTGCAGTAGTACAGCTGATGTAATCTATCTGGGACCTGTATAAGAACAGAATTTTGTCTTTTTTACTGAAGATTCTACAATATAAACCAATATCAATTGCTTTGATTATGGTTCCCATCTGACAGTCATGAGACTGAACTAGTCCGTACATCATGATATCTCGGATATTTTCAAAATTTTCCCTGAATGTTGCGTGCATTATGTTGGTCCTGTCTACATACATCACACTGTATTAACAATTGCCTGACCTATTCACCAAGTGCAGAATCTGTGATCTTCTTTAAGCACTTACAGAAGATGCCTATAATCAAAGTCATTCTGAGCTCAAAGATGAAAATTTTTCATCTCGAAACCAAATATTTGGCAAATTGTTAACTGCCTGATAGAATGCCCAAATTGAAAACATTTGTTCAATGAGTAAATTTTCATGTAACACATAATGCCCAGGTGAGGAGGGATGAAGTGGCCCCCCTCTCTTTAACCTTCTTGGTTGGTGCAACCAGTATTTTTTAGTTCATTTTAGCACTTAGACATATCACATTTCAATTAAAGCATAGTTTACTCAATAATCCTAATGAGCCATTGCAAAGTTTTCTGGAGTGAAAGAAAGATTAATTTTATTACCTACTATCCCTGAGAAAAATAATGAAACACATACCACCATTATAAAACTTAAAAAGGGGAGTGTATCTATTACAAATCAGAAGATAACAAATATAAAGCTTTAAAAAAGTTCTGTTGTAATTGAACTGGAAGCCATGGTTGTTAGTTGACATCTTGCATTCTCAGCAGGAGTGAAATTTGTTGAATCCATGAAGACTGTGAATGTATATTTTTCCAGTTTGGTTTATCACTGTTTAAGATGTTTTCTAGTCCTTGCTATTACCAGTCCATTTTCTTTTTCCTTTGCCTAAAAGTTGTTTGTCAGAAATACAGTTCACTTCTGCATTCCCATGTCTGGTATCACTGGTTTTTTCAAGCTGGATAATCAGGTGATTTTAATCCCAAAACGTGAAACTTACAGAAAGGTACAAATCAAAAATAAGAGCTGAGACTTTCTTCACGCTTAACGTGAGTTTGTGTCTTTTGATAAAATGTTAATTTCAGCTCTGACTGTCTTTGTTTATTTCACATTGGTTTCCTGAGCTTGGATGGACCTCATCAGATGATCACTGTGGTCATCTTAAGTCAGTATTTTCTCTCTTCATTCAAGATTATTTATAGTCCCTGAATGTTTTGGGTATCAAAATCATGATGGAAGTTGAAAATTGATAGTCCATATTTTACCTCTATTATGACTATCAATAAGTTCAAAATTAAAAATAAACCTAATTCTTCTGTTACATTCTGTGCTGTTATCCATTCTATAATTTTGTCACTGATGTCATATCTAAAAGAAAACTCAATTGAAGATTTGTAGAATTAGTTATTTTTTGCCCCTAGCTATTTCTTTAAGAAAAGCTTTTAGTGGCACATGCAGAATAATTTGTCATCTTGATTAAACTTGTGACCATTGTTTCCTACATAACCTGTTCCTCAAATCTAATGTATTACCATAATAAAAAAGACGGCTCTTACTCTGCTTGTCTTAATCTTAGGCTTTTGTTTTCATGATGCAATTTAGCTGGAAAAGGTTTGGAACTGCAAATGAGCTGTTACAGCTACAGATTGCAGAACTTTGGTAACAACCAGAAGCTACCTAATACACTATTGCAGTGGACTGCAATCTTCAATCAAATGCTTGCCCCCCAATAAATCCAATTTGATTAAATGAACCAATTTTGCAACTGAAGCATTGGTAAAGTTTAAACCTTTTCTCCACCTTGTGTCCCCCACTGCCACTCCTCGGCCCCAATGTGTCTTAAATTTAGCTGATCAGCAAGAGTGGCGTGCAGTAACTTTTAGTCAGAAATGGATTTCCAGCCAAAATTATAACATGTTAAAACACAGTGATGAATAATGCCTGATTAATTGTCACATTAATTTTTGACCATGTGTAGTTGCTGATGGACACTTCCTTACTGCTGTTTAAAGTGTGTTTTTTTTATTCTGCTGTTATTGTACTTTTAACAGACATAAA